TCACTATTTAGTTTGTACAGTTGCACGGATTAAGTGCGATCACTCTATCGCAAATTAAATTGAATTGATACAAATGAAGCATTCAATAGCGTCTTGCTTCAAGTCCACTTTTAGTACAAATTAAGACTATACTTAGATTTTGTACAGTTGCACGGTTGCGATCACTCTAAGTGCTTGCACTCTATTTTTTGGCGATTTAGGAAATTGTATTCATAACCGATGGTCAATCGAAGGATGTTCCGTGTAATCGGCAGAATTGGTGTACCTTATTGTTCGCGCTCACTAATAATATTGATAAATAATTTGATAATATTAAATTTCTATTTTTTATGAAAAATATTTAAAAGCTAAGTTCTATACTTGAAAAGCTGTTCTGCTGAAAAATCTGCAGATGTTTAGTTTTTGTATTGAGATGTGCACTTAAGAAGTGTCAAAGGTTTTTCTATAAAACCGTGAAATGCGTAAGTAAACCTTTGAAACAACCGAGTGTTGTTCGTGTGGTCATTAAAATCTCGTCGACTGCAAATGAAATATTACAAAATGTATAAAATTCTTTAAAATATAGTCACATACATCAGAAAGAATGAGACTAAAAAATAGTGTTAGTTGAAAAAAAAAAGGAAATAGACATTACCAAGGGCGGATCCAGGGAGGGGCAAATGGGGGCTGTAGCCCCCCTCTGAGCAGAAAAAGTAAATTGATTTTTATTATTTTCAATGTTGTTTATAACAAATAAAGCCCATTTAGACCCCTAAAACCATTTAGCCCCCCCTTAAAATTTCAGCTGGATCCGCCCTTGAATTTACACTAATACTTAACAATTAGACCTCGAGGTCGAGTGGACTACGAGCTAATAGCCCATGAGGCCGAGTCCGCGAGGCCGAATGGGCTATTTAGCTCGTAGTCCACGAGGCCGAGAGGTCTAATTGTTTCAGTATAAACATACTAATAGGTCAAATAATGAAAACAAATTGAAATATCCTTAAAATAATTATTATTATTATAATTTATTTATTTTGATTTTCCAGCGAGTGGTCTATCACAAATTAGACCATTAGTAGAGTAGCCAATCACAGCGCAGTATGAGTGATAGACCATTAGTATGTTTATGCTAAACCTTAATATGCTGTAATTGAATTGTTTCTTTTGTGTCTATTTGACTATCGCACTTTAATATATAGTCAAATTTTGTTTCACGCGTTTTATGACTTCACTTTRAGCGCGTCAGCTGTAATTGTCGCTCCGCGGTTGTGAATTGTTTGCACTGATTCTATACTAGTGATTAGTATGTTGTTGGTTCATTTCTGCCGAAATAAGGAAWTAGCACCTTTAAAATCAACTCTAATATTTGTATAGGCCTAATATACATGATTTGGTTTTATATAATGGCTATTGTACTTTACTCTTTGCTTAGCTGTGAGTCGTCTTTTGAATTCATAAGTTATCGTTTCGAAATACTTAAAATTGCAGTCAATATCTGTCACCAGAGTAAGCAACCGCTTACCACAAGGAGGACGTGAAATAAACAGTACGCAGACCTTTCACTGAAGCAATGTCGACCCTTCCTGATCGGTTTTAAGGATAGTTCTGGCTGAGCTACAATCAAGTAATTTAGTTATGCTATCGACCAGTCGTAAACATTTCTTTACATTCAGTAACGTGACCGTTCTTGTGCGCAGATCGCTTCCTTTACGAATCCGTGCAGTATACGTTGCCCCAGCAACAACGCACGTTGTGTGCACATGCCTTTGGTTTGCACCACCCKACGTCGTCCATACATGCGCAGTTTTCCTCACAGGTTCTCATCAGTCGCACGACTTGTGTTGTCTTTCTATCAGGCGTGGTTTGATTGRCGTAGCATTCTGACATTACTGCGTTTTGACAGGTTTGATCCGTCATAAGGCTACCCCATACTGGCCCATAATCCTCTTTGTCGCAATAATAGCACTTTAACTTGATTGTGATGTAGATACCTAAAGATTGATACAATTGTAGTAAGGGTGTTATTATATGTATTATATAGAGGATATTACATGGGCGCGCGGAGATACGGATTTTATCTTCGAGTGTTGAAAAGATATCTCACGAGTGAGCGTAGCGAACGAGTGAGAGATTTTCAACACGAGAAGATAAAATTCGTATCTCCAAGCGACCATGTAATATTCTGTTTATCATATAATTGGATATGAGCGCAAATCTTGTCGTAAAATACCTTTTTTCTTACTTCCACTATATAGAGAAACCTCGAATATGATATTTTCACTAGTGAAAATAACATGCATGTTATTTTCACTAGTGAAGATATCAAGTTTACGAAATGGAGAAATATAGATATTTCAGAGATAATTATATGATAAATATCTTTATCATATAATCTTTATCATATAATATTTTCGCTTGGGATAAAGGTCCTGGGAACGGTGATGATGTTCTAGATCCCTCACTGCATGACAGCTTGCATGTACAAAAGCGCACGGTACATACAGTCATGAAGTATAGACATGCAGTACAAAATGTTCTGCATGTATATAAAATCAATTTAAAAAAATAGCAGTTTATAGTTTTATTGCTTGCAAAAGCATCTTTCATTTGGGATTCCATCTTTTTAACATTTGTCATACCTGATCCTCGCCTGTCCTGCACTAATACCGATGTYTCGGGTAAATCCAGCCTTGTTCTTCCATGGATGCTCCAGAGCTTGTAGAGAATCATGACCGTCATWCCTGTGCGCAACAAACAAATCATAAAGAAAAGTGTGAAAATTTAAGTGTTTACCAAATGACCAAACAAACGAATCAAGCGTCATCCAAATAACAGTTAAACTGACCTACRAAGCGAAGCGTACAACCAATCAAAAACGAATGAAGCGTATGTACAACCAATCAAAAATCTGGACAATCAAACTGACGATGGTAACCAAACGACCAAACAATGGAATAACAAACAGCCAACCAACCCAAGAAGATCCAAGAGATAATCTTCTAGAAGGGGTGCAGGTTATCTCCCATGTTCTCTGCACCCCAATCAAGTGAAGAAGTTCCTTTTACCAAATAATCGAGCAAGCCAAGCAACCATCCAACCGATCAGTGAAGCTCCTAAACAACCATGCGAAATTTCGACTTGTTAACCAATCAAATGAGCAATCGTCCAACAAACAAGACAACCAACCGAAAAAGAGATCAGGCACAACAAAATTGCTAAACAATCAGTCAACCAACCACCCATATAACCAACCAAAGAATCGACATAGCAATCGCCGGACTAACCAATCATCCAAGGAACTAACAAACCATCCAGATATCCAAACAACGAACCTACTCTAATCGACCAACCAACTCCCCAATCATCAAGATAAATTAATCAATCAATAGAGAAATTAATGGCGTTGACCACATAGGTGTGCTGTTTTGCAATCGCTTCCAAAAATGATAAATAAAACAACAACAAATGCGCGAAATATATAAGTGCATGTATTGGCTTGACAAGAGTATTAGTATTTTATTTAAATTCCGCTAAAAACAAAAAGCAATGTTTTACATCAGTCGACTTTGAACTAGTCTTAAATTTCATTCACAACTAGCGTTCGTTTATTTCAGTTGTTGGTAAATTGACAACAGTGGTTGGTATGTACGGCGGTTTAAACACCCGTCATTTGTGTGGAAAATACCCTTCGCTTTGCCCTAAAGAGATTTTCATTATGAATTTCAGTCTACTGTCATTGATTATTATCGGCTTAACCGATTTTTTAAACCATTTCTTTTTTGGCGTCTTTGTTTTTTTAAAGAAAACTAAATTCGTGTCCTAATATTTATGTTTTGAGGTGTATTATTTTATCTTCCGTACCCTTATAATTGATTGATTCTATGTATATGAAATGGCCTGATTGCGCGATCCCGCGGCTCAAAGTTACACAAGCGATACCTCGCCTCGTTGATTTACAGAAAAATTGATTTGTAATACCTGAAGCAATAAATATAGTCAACAAACTTTGCCATGCAGGTCTTGACTTGATTCTTTTGACCATCTCAGTCTGTGGGCTAACCACTTGCCCCGACATGTTGTCCGGCGAAAAAATATAGAAATAGAAATGTTTCTTGGCAAAAAAATAGCTGATGAACTCTCACGTTACACTGCTTGACTATCAATGAAGCTGATCCGTACACCAACTAGCATTTGAAGGGCTTTCTGATGGACATTTGAATGGTTTTAGAAGGACGTTTGAATGGTTTTGCTTGGAAGCCAATTCAAAAATCCAATCGGCGATCTCCCTCTGCAGGCATTCCACAAGTTCGCAACGGTGTAGCACAATGGTCTTCTACCCTTCTAGTTTATAGATTTCAAGGAGACAGTTTCTTGTCACCAATTGACGTAGCATTTGAATGGTTTTCCAGTGCTAACTCAAATAGTTTTTCGAATGTTTGATCACAAAGCGAGACAGGTTGTGTAATGAGTTTTTCTATTCTTTATTGGTTGGCTGGTGTTTGCTCCGTTCCACCCGCCGATTTAAGCAAGTTTGAATCTTGACAAACAAGAATTGTGCAACTGAAAAAAACCTGTTTTAAATCCAGACTTCTCAGTGTTTTATCGTGATATAAAAGGAATTTGCATTTGACACACATAATATTTTTATTTTCCAATACTTTTAATAGTTTTTCTTTACTTCTTTCTTTTTATATTTGTCAGTTTTCATGAAATTGAATTGTGTTTTTAATATCAGTATTCAWATTTATATTCAAAATTATTCATATGGTCTTGATGCATTTTCCTTAATTTCAAGCAGCAAAAAAAGTAACCGAAATTTCAGCTATGCAAGAAACA